CTGCTGGCAAGAAGAAAATACAGGTCCTAATAGATCAGGAGCTGTATTTTGAACCTTTATATATATATATATATAATATATATATATATATATATGCTGATTTATGTATTTTAATGTTCTATGTATATATAAGTGATAGAAGCAGCTCTTAGTAAATATAAATTAACGTGTACCGTTTGTGGGAGTTTGTTTCTAGAACATGAATGCCTAAGACAGTAATTTCAGCCTAGACAGCCAATGTGTTTGAGATGAATGTTGTCCGAGTTGTTAACATGCACCTTTTCTTGTAAGTAACATGAAAAGCAGCCAGCCGGGATAGGACTGAGGTAGTTTGTTGTTTTACATACTTGCCTGTAAACATTAAGATCTATCTCAAATATTTGAAGTATTCGTTTACCAGACTTGGAAATGTGATGCGTAGAGTCATTCTGCAACAAAAACAAACAAACAAACAAAAAAAAGCCCTGCATATACTGAAATTTCTCTTCTGTTCCCTGAGGGTTGTCCTCTTCGTTTGTGTTTGGCTCTGGGTCTTCAGCACCTGCTGCTGGCCCAGCATTTGGTGCCTGTCAGCCAGAAGAGGTGGAAGACAAGAAGATGCACCTAAGGAAAGGTGCAGAGAAGGGTCATACTTATCTGTGCTGTACCCTGCTTTGTCTCTTAACATCTCTGCTCCTTTAGCAGGTAGGAAGTACAACTGCTTGTTTCCAGCTGTGTAACTGGTAACCACAAGCAGATACAACTTCTAATTTGTTTCTAAATGTGTGGGGGGGACTTGAGGAGTTGTAGAAAACATGAAAGCTTATATCTTTGTTGCCTCGCTTTTAATTACTTCAGAACATGAACTATTAAATTACAATATTGCATGTTCTTTTAGAAATAAGGATAAGGTGTAGGTCACTTAAAAGCTCACGATTTCTTAGTGTCTTGGACAACGCGAAACGTTGTGGACTACTACAGTTTAAGAAAATGAAGAAGACTTCTAATCGTAGTCCCCTTGGCTATGTATCCTTCTTGTCATGGCTAAAACAATTGAGACACATCAGAAATGAAACTCCCGAGTTGTGAATTAATAATATTAAAAGCGTTGGACAGGGTGAGCATCTAAGAAACTGACCTCAAAGTTAAGATTATTCTTGCCCCTCCCTCACATTTTTTCTAGCTGACGGACTGCAATAAACTGAGCGTTTGCAGCTGCATTCCTTGAGAAAGACAGAAGACAGATTCTTTCAACCATGGCAAACCAGGTAAGATCCTGTGGTGAGAAATTCAGGTTTGTAGTGTCTAAATGGATCCCAGAACCATACTCAGAATTCCTAGTAAATGTAAAGCTGAAATGGCTGGCTCACTCTGAGTTGGGTGTTCTAGTCCTGTGATTTCCTCTGCTAATTTGGTAATTGGTGGTTGTCCTCTGGATGCTTGATCATAACAACCGAAGCAGGTTGGGGGCAAAACGTTAAGCTTTGCAGTTTGGATTATTTGAGCATGAGTTCTTCTGAAGGATCTGTGAGTAACACTCTCTAGGTAAGTTATGTAGAGGTGTTCTAGAGGAAGAACACTAAAGCCTGCGTAAGTAAAAGCTACTGAAAAACGCCAATCATATTTTTGGAAATCCTTGTTCTTCAGAATACTAAATGAGGGAGGCAACCTGTGTTGTTATGGCTGTTTCTCTCCTCTTTTCTGTAGTTATCACACTTCCTTTTTAACTGTGGCTTTTGGGGTGTTTGTTTTTGTTTTTGTTTTGTTTTTGGAGGCACTTTTTTTTTATGCCTCTTAGTTCCTGGCCTTGCATCTGGGTTTTGAGTTTTCCCCTCAGCCAAGTTAGTGCCTGTTCCTGGTCTGCTTTCTCCTTGCGTTCCATTAATGGGCCTCCTGTCGTCGTTCCTGGCCTGAGAGAGTGACTGGCAGCTAGGTAGTGAGGAGAGGCATCTCACATAAGGAAGAAGAATTCCTAGGAAAGGGGAGACAGGGACAGATGAGATTTCTTCTGAGCAGGAGTGATGATTTCCTGCCTGTTCATCACTCACTGTGCTACTGAAGACTTTTTTTTTGAGAGTCCAAGAGCTCAAATGGAGCACAATCCAGTCCTAAGCTAATTAACGCATAGGATTGACCAGCATTGAAGGGCTAACTGCTTTTTTCCGAATTCCAAGAGGAAGCTGTCAATCCTTTAGCCAGCTTGACAAGTCAGGGGAATATGGCTGTTCATACAATCCTTTGGCTCTGTTATTTTTGCCAGGCGTTTTCCCCAGAGGCTGCTTTCCCTCATGGGAGGCGGAGGGAGAAATGGGACCCCAGGCTTCTTTCAAGGGCAAGGTGAATATGGGGAAATCACCTGTGGTGATGGGGAGTCGGAGGGAGGAATGTAAATGAGGCTAAATACTATAGAGGTGTTTTTTTATCCCAACAGGACTTGCTTGGGAAAAAACGAGAATGCCTCCAGGCCTACAGCTGGTGGAGAACACCACAGAAAAAACGAAAGAAAAAGAACAAAATAAACCAGGAAGAATAGAGTTTGTTAGTAGTAGTAGTTCAGCCAGGTAAAAACCTTTTGAAATGAGAAACTCTGCCTTACCTGTTTGAATTGGTAGCGAATGCCATCACTCACTTTTCAAATTCCAAATGGGTGGTGTGGTTGGTAAATGTTGCATTGGCAATACGTGTCTATAAATAATGGTTTATTTGCAGTTGCTGTCTCCCATGATCACTGGGAAGCAGTATTTCTACTGCTACTAGTCATAGCTCCTTTGAATCGTGGCTGTGGTTTAAGTTGATCATTTTTCTTGGTATTTTTATGCTGCTTTCTTGTTCAGGCAATAAACTATGCTTCTTCTTGAAACAAACTGTTGCAAGTTGTCAGAAAATGGGTCCTTGTTGCTGAAACAGTAGAATAGACCCAGAGTAATGGAAAACTTTAGATTAGAGTGGTGGCATTGCAATTTTCTACGCAACTCAGTAGAGTTCGTACTTAGTACTCTTACAGATTTCTCTTTTTTAGTCTGATGATAACTAACTGTGAATATCATGGGAATCAGCTATCTTAGTCTTGAACCTTAAAATTGTTCTTTCTCTCTCTCTTTTTAAAGACCAGATTATTCAATATTTGTTGGGAGCTTACCCCAGAAGTGGGTGATTTCCAGCTCTGTGACTATTTCCTAAAGAGGTATCCCTCATGTATTGACTGCACAATAGCAACAGACCTGCTGGGATATTCCAGGTAATCCAGTGCAAATGTGTAACGTTATCAGTGTGTCGCTTTTTATAAGCGATATGTAAGAGCTTGCGTCGGAGCTGTTCCAGTGCTTTTTTTCTGGGGCACGAAGAGTGAGATTCGTCTTTAGCACTGCTTTTCTTATAGCACAGATCCTTGAGTGTTTTTAAGAGCTTTCCAGTTAGTTCAGGCAGTTACTGTGATAAGCTTCAACTTACCCATATGCATATCTACATGGGGGAAAAAAAAAAAAGAAGAACTAGAAGCTGTGGGAGGAGGAAGAGCTGTGCACTGAAATCAGCGCTGCTGTGTGTCTACTTAGTCATCTGCAATACTGAAGACAAAATAATTCCTACTTGTTTGGGGAAAAACATAAGCCCTGGCAAATCTTAGGGGGTTGGGGGATGAACCTAATGTTAGTAGTAAATAAAGTCTAGCAGAAACTACTGGCCATGCAGTGAGTCAAGCAGGAATGAGCGAGTTTGCCTGTTCAGACAATGCTGCCTGTAACAGGACTAATTCAAGAACCTTCTGAGAAAGCAGATAAAAGAATGTTAGTGTTATGCCGTGGTAGGAGTGGGTTAATGCTAACTGATTAACTGCTGTATATGCAGAAATATGGAATCTGATTACTACGCAGATAGCACTTAAAATGTATTGTTTTGCTGGCTCTTAGCGAGTTGCATCTTAATGCTACCAAGGAACAAGCTTTTTGCTTCTGGCCCAAGTTGTTTAATTTGGTGAAAGCCTTTTCTGTGCATGTTGCACATGCCGGAGAGGTTGCTTAAGTAATGGAAGCTCTAGTAGCTGCTATCTTGTTTTTTTGTAGAAGAAAGAAATTGAATCATTAGTTTTGTAACTGTTATGCATACTAGAATTTGTTTTTCTCCCTTTTTGAAAATTGTAGAGGGTATGCCTACGTCAGATTGGTGAGCAAGGTGATCAGATGAGGGCACTGCAAGACTGCCAGAATGCACCAGGTCTGGGGGGAAAACGAATCCGGCTGAGCATAGGAATTTCTAAAAGGTAACCCAATGAGTTGTGCATTGATACAGTTATTCTAAATAATCAGATTCTTGTAGTTCTGCCTTTGTAAAGTCTGTGGCCCTGCTGTAATGGCTGTACACAGGATGCAGTCTACAAACCAAAAATGCAGAAGTGCTATGTTTTGACTCCCTGGATTCATCAACCTGTTTCAGGATGCTGGGGGAATCCACCTCTTATGTCTAGCCAGACAGTGTCACTTGGGCTTAGCTGCCATTGTAACCAGCCTTGTTTCTCAACAGTAGCAAAGCTGAATTGCATTCGTAAATACTTTCAGGTTTGGGCCTATATGAAGTAGAAGGGACAACAAGTGGTTTTATACGCTGGGGAGTTCTGTTCTTAGACAACTAATTCCCAAAATCTGGGAATGCAGGGAGAAAGCCAAAGGAGTTATTACTAGAACAGGTGTAGAATACTATTCTTTGCTTTTCATGAGCTTAGGGCAACGGGGAGTTTAAAGTTTAGCACTTCCTGAGAGGGTTTCTTACTCTACTGGCTCAGTTCTATCATTTATTTAGGGCAATTTAGGTCTCTGAATAGTTAAAGAACCGATACCAAATTTGATGAACTCTGATTCAGGATACTGACAAAAGAGGACTTCATATAAACAATTCCAATAGTACACGAGGTTAGCTTGTGTGTTCTGTTAAACAGTAAAAAAATGACACTTGTTTCTGTTTACCTAGCATAATTCTGCAAATGTTGCCTCCTGCTTTAGAACAGAAATGCTCTTCTCCAACAGAGCACTGTCCAAAATGTCAGTAATAGCCAAATGCTGAATATTAATTAAATAATAAAACTCGAGACAATTGAACAACTGTCTAATTTTCTACCATATTTGTTCAAAATGATCGCACACAGGACAACTCCTGATTCAAGGTGGCAATTTTAACAGAAAAGACAAGCTACTAATACAGAAACACTAAAGGAAACGCATCTTGAATAGCAGCTCAAGTTGCTCATGAACGTACATTGAACGTAGTTGTTTTGTGGTTTTTTGTTTGCTTTTTTTTTTTTTTGCTGTTTTGTTTTTAAATCAGAAGTGAAGTTTTTGAACAATGTGGATTTAGATTCTGCTTCTTTTAAACTGATAAAGTGAATGTCACAGATTTGCAGCTTTGCAATATCTTTAGAACCCAAACTCTTTACTATTCTTTCTGCACCTGGGCTGAAGGTGGGACAGGAGAGTCGAGTTTTACAAACATTTTCCTTTTCAATTCCACAAATTGTATTTACTTAAAATGAAACATTGACCATCTAGCTAGTTCTCTTAGTACCTCATTTACAGTTACATCCTAACACATAAAGGATGTTGGGAATTGGCATACAGGACGTGGACATGTGCGTGGAACAATTGTTCGATCTGAGCTTGCTTTAAGCAACCAGGGGTAGGCCTTAGGAATCTCAGCATTATCTGGGAATGCAGGGAGAAAGCCAAAGGAGTTTATTACTAGAACAGGTGTAGAATACTATTCTTTGCTTTTCATGAGCTTAGGGCAACGGGGAGTTTTAAAGTTTAGCACTTCCTGAGAGGGTTTCTTACTCTACTGGCTCAGTTCCATCATTTATTTAGGGCAGTTTAGGTCTCTGAATAGTTAAAGAACTGATAACAAATTTGATGAACTCTGATTCAGGATACTGACAAAAGAGGACTTCATATAAACAATTCCAATATGTTCATGAGGTTAGCTGTGTGTTCTGTTAAGCAGTAAGAAAATGACGCTTCTGTTTCTGTTTACCTAGCATAATTCTGCCAATGTTGCCTCCTGCTTTAGAATAGAAATGTTCTTCTCCAAGAGAGAACTGTCCCAAATTTCTTGCCAAATTTCTTTATTAAATTAATATTTTTATTTTGAACCAAGAATACGCCGCAAACATGTTTTCTCGCTTTGGCTATCCAGATGAATGTCAACAGTATTTTCAGATTTTCCTTCCCTACAGAACTGTATGTAGGAAGAGTGCAGCTGGAACCAGAAGATGTAAGATGATGTATCTCTCTGTTTGTTTACTACAGTAACAAGACAATGGATTACCTCTTTATTAGAACTTGTGTAGCTTTACAGTATTGAAACAAGCGTAGGTATTAAAAGACACATCAGTAACAAGTTTTGAATGGCTGAGTACCATGCTCTCTTAGCATTGAAATACCAGCCACTGGATTATTTCAGTTGTTTGCTTGTTTGGAAGCTGTTTCAGAATGCCTTCAGCTTGTATTCTTGACAAAAAGCATTAGAACTCACTTCTCTGCATCCCCAGTTCAAGTCAGATAAATGGGCCACTGCAAACACAGAAGGCCTGCCTGTACAGAATCAGTGAAGAAAAGTCTAAACAGTGGATTTTTTTTGAATATGCAGCTGGGTTATCTGAACGTATTTTATGCACTGTACATCAGTTTAGTATAGATAGCACTTGTCTTGGTTCTTGTCCGTAGTCTGAAGCTGCCCTGGAGAAAATCTTGAAAGGGCAAGTAGGTGAAAACTAATTAGCTGGCCCTTTCTTCTTCAGAACCGCTGTATTTGTAATTCTCCCACTGGTAAGGCTTCCCTACTGGACAATGTGATTATGTAGTTAAGCAAGACTGACTTCACCTGAGTGGTATACTTGGCAGCTGTTGAATGTTTCATGGACTTTAAACAACAAACAAACAAAAAACTGAGCAGGTGGAGGTAGGCATGGCAAACTGTCAGGCAGTGTCAGAGCTTCTTTGAAATGGATAATCTGACTCCATTCACTTCTTTCTGGAAATAAGATCTATGTAATTAACCAAACAAAAGACAGAAGGGTTAAGACTGCATCTTTAAAGCAGTGTGCTGGATAATGTCTCTGGTCTTAATGAATCATCTTTAGCAAAGGACAGAGACTTAGCAGCAGCTTGCTATGCCAACGCTAAAAATACTTGCTATATACAGGTAACAATGTCAAGGCTCTGGAGTTAATCCATGAAAACAATACTTCTGGTATTGGCAAAGGTGAGGATGTTTGCGTTCTGTATAGATGGGGTTTTGTGCTGTGACTTGTAGTCACCTAAGTGACAGCTTTTAGGAAAGCTTCCTTTAAACTTTGAAGTACGGAAGCTGACACAATTGTTAAGTTCAGAACTGGGTTTAGGGTTTGTTCTCTAACTGTATGCAACTTCTCGTGTTTCAGACTGAAAGCAGAATTCCAGCGGTACAGTCATACAAACTATATTGATATTACCAAGATTATCAGAACTACTACTC